ACTCACACGTCTACCGCTATCCTAGTCCTCCGGCTAGGACCTAGGGGAGGCTATCTGACCCACCGCTGGTCCGGTGGGTCCTGACCACTGGGTATGCCGAGCCTTAGCCCTTAGAAGGGCTGAAAGGCTGGTCCAGGGTCCTAGCTAGGCTTCAGCCCAGTCTTCTGTCTTCGTGCAGGGAGAGAACTCCTCGAGGTCCGTTGGGTCACCCGTCTTATACCCCTTCGTGGCCAGGTAGAACCAATCATACATTCCCACGTGGAACCGTCTGATTGGTTCGCACCAAACCCTGGCCACGATCCGTTTCACCTCGACTGACCCCAACCGTTGTACCCAGGGGTAATGCTGCACCGCCCTGGTGGCAACGCGGGTTACGCAACAGCGCGTAGTTAACACCTCTACACTTGTATACTTTAGTTTATAGCTGGCACGCCAGGGTATTGCAACTTCATGACTCTGGGAAGAAACAAAAACAAGCCTCAAAACATTGTCATTTTGTCCAACCCACCAAACCTCGCCTCCACAAGTGTTTGGACTACTGGCGTGCGCCACCCATCACCCGGTCGTCTTCCAAGACGTCTGGCCAGTGTGGAGGAGTAGGCCAAAAATTAATTAGGGCTCTCTGGAGCCTCCTGGCAGCAGTGGCAGAGGGTCTTGTGTGAGCAACGGTAGGAAAAATACATTGAAGAGCAACGCCTTTTGTGCTCCATGAACTGAAATGCGCATGACTGAATTTTCTTCGAAGAGTCTGTTTACGCTAACATTGTTGAGTTTCCTATACAGCCACACAATGTTGTCCAATCTGGATCTCAGTTTCCATCGACTAGCATCTCACATTTTGATGGCTGGAATGCCGATAATTGTGCTATTGTTAGAGGGAGGGGGTGTTGTTGAGACAGTGGTTGGGTGAAATGTAGTCTGATTATGTGCATGGTGATGATCATTCCAAGTAAAATGTGAGTAACTTATTTTCTCATCTGGTGTAGGAAAACTGAAAAGTGTAAAAACAAACGTCGAGATGCGCTTGCTTGGAATCACAACACCGAACAGAACTAGGGGCGCGTGGCTTTGGGAAGATACGCAGGTCTAAGACACTATTCAAACTGCCAAAAAAATCTGCGTGGCCTTGGGGCAGGATACGCCGCTGGAATGAATGATGGCCGATGGTCAAGAATCGTGACAGAGCGGTGGTCAAGGAATTACGCGTGTTCGAGAGGACGTCTGCCGAGGAGATGGCGCGATCAAACTGTCTCGTTAACAGGTGCTCGGTGGATCACTACGTCGTGGCATGGCGAACGGATGGTGGTAGCTTGAGATCTTCATCGCATGGTGTGGATTATCCATCGCTGATGATGATGGTGTTGGGACGATTATACATCTGCTCCGGTATTGTTGATACAGTATTAGCATTGTTAATGAGCCACGAATGTAAGAACATTGGTTAATTCCTACATAATTAGAAAGCTTAATTATACTATTAAGGGAACATTGTATAACACACAGTACATTATGTTATGTATTTTAAAAATCTATCTTTATTAGCCATAGACTATCCACTGCTGGTTGAAGGGCTCTACAATCCTACAACATGTCCCCCAGTCCTGCGATGCAACAATCCAACGAGCAGCCTCCACCCTCTCTGCCAATCCCGTGATACAACAATCTAAGTCAGCCGCTGCACACGAGTTGATTTCTTTTTAATTTCCTCATTAGCTGCCCTCTTGGGCCGTATTCCTTGCTTGGTTTTTCCCATCTCCATCGTAAGCATCGAGCACTCGGCCATCCCATCTAGCGACGTGTCTTATCCCAGCCCACTTACTATATCTCCATATATATAAAAGGCAAAGTTGTGAATGTGTGTCTGTTCAAAATGTCTAGCGTACTTCCCGACATGCAACAAACTGGAAATTTGCCATGTGGGTACTTTCCAGACTGTACACCATGCAAATATTATAAAAATACACTTTTGGGTTTTTTTGGGAGGGGGGGGAGCTCTATAATGGTTATATTTTTTGCAAGGCAAGTGAGCTGTGACGTCAAATCTGGGGGGGGGGGGTACAGATATTTCGCGAACGACAAGCCCCAATCCACGTGCTGTCGGATTCGGGGAAAGTTATTTGGGATCACTGCCCCCCTACCCACACGTAGTAGGGGCAACGATCGGAAACGTGGTATTTTTAAGGGGAGGGGAAAATGAGACAAGCGAGGTGGGGCAGAGGGGGGAGTAGAGAAAAATACCCAAACAGAACCGAAAAATAAGATAGCATACACGCGCTGAGTGAGCCTGTCATTACTGTGGATCCTCTGGGTACACTTTCTTTAAGAGTCAATACGATGCGTCTTGCTCGCGTTTGACCTCCGATCCATTTGTTCCGATTCTTCTCGGTGGAAATGCGCAGCCAGGGGATCTCTTTCTGCATAATTTGCTTCTTTGCAATGCTTTTCCGTTTTGTTTGAGCAGTGGTCCACGTTTCTCACCCGTACGTCGTAGCAGAGAATGTGCACGCTCTTTATAAAAAAAGAAAGATTCACGGTTGAAATGGAACAAGTGTTTAGCGTGAAAAGTGGCTTGGATAAAAAGGAAGGCAGGCCAAATAAATGGAGAAAATATTAACCATCTCGGATTTTTATCATAGCAAGTTGAGATCACGATAAATCTGAGCGGAACAAGAGCCACGCCCACCAACGTTTTCTAAACAGTTGAAGGCACCTCTTGGGAGGGACGCGAAAGGAACACGGTATGAATACCTCGGTCATTATTGTAGGCATGTTCAGGGATCATGCCTACAATCGAGAGGAGGATGAGAGAGAGTTGGAATGCGTTTGGAAAACCGACTTTGGTGACGAAGAGCAAACGTACCAGTGGATTATATTCATCAGGAATAATCATTTTAATTTCCTTTGTCAATCCACCGCCAAGATGAAGGGATATCCCTCGCTGTGTCGAGGGGTGGGAGGTTGCCCATAATTCACATGTTTCAGTCTGTGCAGGTTGGTGTTGAGTAGTGGTTCTTAACCTGGTGTGTACACACACCTGCTGGGAGTGTGAGATGCCCTTTCTGGGGGTGCGAGGCATGGCCAGATTTTTTTAAGGTAAATAATCGAAAACACATTAAGCATGGGCACGTAAGTACAACTACTTTGTTTCATGAAACCCCTATGTATTTATTAACGTTATACAAAATGTTAACGATTAAAAACCAAAGGGGTGCAGGCTGCAGTAAAATATTAAGAACCACTGGTGTCGAGGAAGAGGGGAGGGGGCCCAAGACCGATTCAGATTAAAATCACTCACCACCGATGTTAGCCGTGACTAAGGAAAACAAATCAGGTTCGTGGGACCGGGTTCATTGTCGCGCACTGACAATTTCGCTGGCTCCGCTCCCTCCCCAACCACCCTCCACCCCAGCCGTTGATTCCGCGCACATGCGATACAGGTGAGAGATAAAGGAGAGAGATAGAGGAGGGAGGTGATAGAGAGAGATATAGAGAGATAGAGGAGAGAGATAGAGGAGGGAGGTGATAGAGAGAGATAGAGGAGGGAGGTGAGAGAGATATAGAGATAGAGGAGAGAGATCGAGGAGGTAGATGAGCGAGAGAGAGAGATAGAGGACAGAGATCGAGGAGGGAGGTGAGTGAGAGAGATAGAGACTTTTGACTTTTAAATAGCTATCATTTCCGCCAGCAGCAACAGCACTGGAGGCAATTCGATACCAAACACACAGTCGCCAGCAACCAAAAGGCGGAACATTGGGTTGAGCCACTGGCAGCGTAAGTACTGGTGGGGCAGATTTTCCCTGGCACCGCAGAAAATGCACAAGTCTGTTACCCCCAGCGAGATTCGGCTGAGCCACACGGCCGATGGCAACATCCAGTGTGCCAACCTCCACTGGAGGTCACCGCAGCGTTTGGCTACGGGAGACTTGTACATTTGTTTCCACTGGGGGGCGGCCACAATGAGGGGAAAGAAATGGTCTCTCCATTTTGTGTCCGGTAGGTCGGCCAGGTCCCAGGAATGCAGCGCCTTGACACAGCCACGTGTGGAGCGCTTTGTTTGGGGCACTCTTCAGGGACACGTTCCTGCAGCCTCGGAGCTTCAGTAGCTTGCCGGAATCGCTGTGGCCAGGGGGCTGCATGCAGAAGAAGCACAACTCCGGGAAGAAGGAGGAGAAGGGGTGGAAGGCTGCCACCGTCCTCCAGCGCCTCCAGCTTCAGGCGCAGCTCCTTCATGGCGCGGAGCGACGTCCCGCCGCAGCTTCTCCCCGGCGAGCATGGAGCGGAGTCCCGCGGTGCTGGCGATCTCAGCTGTGGTCTTCCACTTGTGCTGGTGGGCCTGCACGAGGTCGAAGACTGCCCGCAGCCCTGCCGATGTGAGGCATAGAGCCAGGGTCCTCTCTCCTCTGATCCCCTGGAATAGGCCGTTGCAGAACAAGGGCTAGTTCAGAAACTGTGCGAGGTCGTAGGGCGCGTGCATTCTGCTCCATTCGAAGCTCCGCCACGCGTCCAAAAGGCTCTGGTGATAACCTGGCAGCCTCGTGTAGTCGACCAAGCTCAGGTCCATCAGGAAGAGCTCCTTTCCGTACACCAGGCACCCCTCTGTATTCCTCAGCAGGGCGAGGGCCGGCAACTTCCAGGGTAGCTCATCCCAGTCGTACAGCAGCCGCCTGAAACTCATGACCCTGGCGGTGATGTCCACCAGACCCTGGCCGCCCTCGCCCACCGGCAGGCAGAGAACGCCCGGCCTGAACCAGTGCTTCCCATGCCAGACGAAGTGCGCGAGTGAGCGGTTGACTCTGGTGAGTAGCCAAGCAGGAGGCTGGAGGGCCTTGGTCTTGTGCCACAGCACGGATGCAGCCAGGGTGTTAGCGACGAGCACTCGGCCCCTGAAGAACATCGGCAGAGCGAGGAGAGGTAGAGGGACACGGAAAGGAACATAGAGGAGAGGAGAGGTGAGGGGAGAGAGTAAAACAGTGTGAAACGGAGATGAAAGAGAGAGCAAAATGGAAAGAGGAGAGCAAGGCAAACAGCTAGCGGTGGAGGGAGAAGGCAAGAGAGATGGAGACAGGAAGAAGCAGATCGACGGGAGAGATGCGACGGGAGGGGGGATGTGAGTAGGATATAGTGGAGGGAAGGAGAGGTAGAAGTGGGGACGGAGGAAGAGAGAAACAGAAACAATGTCAGGCATATAGATATATTGCGATATACAGCACAGAGAAGGCAATGTGGAGAGAGGCAGGGCTATATATAACTTGAATAGTCTTACTGGCTGGCTATTTAAGCTAATCTACTTTATCTAGTTTTATTTTACCAGGTAAGGCCATCTGAGCTAGAGAGCTATTTTTCAGGAGCGACCTGGCCACAAATGATAGCCCAATTAGAAGTGGCCTATCAAGTGAAAATGTATAGCATCCAAATACTCGAAACACATGTTTATAAATGCGGAGGGAAAAATCAAAGGACCCAGAGAAAAATCCACGTGACCACGGGGAGAACATGCAAACTCCAAATATACGGGTGTCAGAGTCAGGATCGAACACACTACCTCCTGTATATCAGGCGAGGTAGTTAACATCTTGCCCCCAGGGTACTCCATCTAGGGTGGATAAACGGACGGATGGACGGACGGATGAGCGAGCGGATGAGATGACAGCAACGTCCAAAGGTCGGGTGGGTTGCTCGTCTGTGATGAATAAATAAAAACTCCTGCAAATATGCTCAAAAATATTTTGGTGTAATTTATTTTAACAGTTAGGTTAATCTTTGGTCTGTTTAAATATTAAATTGTCTTTTCAGTGCAAACGCAAGGTCATCCTACACAGGCGTGGCACGGACTTAAGTCGCCATAAATGTCGTGCGTCACAGTGGAGTGCCATATATAAGTAAAAGAATTTCAATACACCACACAAATATCGTGGAGACCACCGAGCAGGAGAAGAGTGACCATTGGCACAAACTGTGAAGTGGAACATTTGAAAAGGGGAAAATATATAGTGTCTTGTGTGTTCATTCATTTTCAATTGACCACATCTGCCAAGAAATGAAGACTCAACTAACAATTGCTGTGCTCTTGATGACAGTTGCCGTCGTATCTGAGGCTGGCAGTAAGTCTCACCACCACTATACCTATATTTTGTGTTATAATTTACACTACAATACTCAGCAGCATACACTGCGAGGGCTCAGATTGCACTAAACGATGTATTGCTTATAGATGCCTCATTTACAAAACAGTTTTTCCATATTCCTCTCTTTTTTCACCTTTTTTGTTTAAATATATTTTCGAAACTATAAAGACAAATCGAAAACTGTACATTTTGAAGAGTATGATCAAAGAAAATAGCCATACAAAACATTTGAGATCTTAAATAAATAGCGAGGGGAATGGTTATAGGGAATGCTTGAAGCAGCATATTTTCTTGATTAGGGATTTACGCAGGTATTGTGTACAGATATGCAGGTGTATGCAACTGCATATAAATGTTGAACTAAACAGGATGATTGAAATACATTATCTACAACTCCAGAAATTCATGTATAAACGAATTTAGTCACCTATTTCGCAAAAAGCATCAATCGTGGGAAAAGATTTCACTTTGTTGTATTGTCGCACCTACATTTTATGTATCCAAGTAAATACGCAGAGAGTAGAAATTGAAGGTTGCGTTGTGTTTTAACGAGTTTTGAAGGTTTTGCAAAGCGTTGGTTTAGTGCTAAAACGTGTAAGCTCCTTGGACCAATGTCACGTTACCGTGGCCTTTATAAAAGTGGGAAAACACACGCAGCGGTCATTATTCCGGCAATTACCGGTGCAAAAGTTTATTGGCTTCATAAAAATAGACAGCGGGAAGGCAAAATTAAGGATATTTCACATTTCCTGGAATCTACAATTACCCCTTTGCTTTCCTTCCTTTTCATGACCACGAAATTTGAGTGTGTTCCTATTTAAAAAAATGCACTCTGATATTATGCATTGCACTATCCTATAGGTTTCCGGAAAATTATGTTTTATACCTTGGTATTACTCGACACTCTGGACAGATGTTCCATCTCAAGGGATTATACAGGGTTTTTTTTTACAGTTTTCTCCTATAAGATGGTAGTTACGTTCCTGAAGAACACCGCATTATGGAAAAATAAATACTATATAATATAGGACTAAAGCACAGTCCGCAAAAACACATGAGATGCGCACGCAGGCTGAAAAAAGACTGAGGTGCGTGGGTAGCATCTAGAAGCATCCAGCAGGATCCCAATGCCTTGTGTGATGCTATACGACCGCTTATTCCTACTCGCGCTGCGACGTAGTTCCATTCATTCAATCGCGTTATATCCAATTCACATCAGCGTTATAAAAATGTGTTCCAGAATACATTCATAGCGTTATATCCAATTCGCGTTATGAAAAGACGCGGCGTTATAGAAGAATATACTATCTTGATTTTAAACTTTCGTGATTGCAGGAATCCATACTCTTTGGTTCTTTCAGTAAAGTCACATAGTTATAAAATAAAACAAATCACTACGTTTCGGGCGCTTTGAAAGCATGCTTTCCCACCTGATGACGGATGCTTGTGTTGCGCCCGAAACATCATGATTTATTTTATGTTATACCTACGTGACTTTACCAAAAGAACCAAAGAGTATAGAAGAACAGACTGTTTGTAAATAAAATACATATGTTAAAATAAAATATGACTATAATCTGCGATAAACAATTTTAGTTTCTAATGGGATGATAAAATGGCACTATTCACACTTAGTATATTCTCTACCAATTAGGGCTGTATACTTTAATATCAGTGTGCAATCTGTTTAATTTCTGCAGTCATTCTTTAGGTATCTGGTTTATGCAAAAATTACCCCTGAAGATATTTGACCAAACATCCCAATCAAGACTCACTTAAAACTGTATTGCTTACAGTTAAGATCAATACATCATGCGTATCATTGTTTCCTACTGTGCGTAGTTTTTTGTGCTTCAAATCGTAGATGCATATTAACTTCACAAAAATAGATTTTCAGACCTCTTTCTCGAGACTGTGTTGCATTTTCCTTATAAACAACAAGGTATATTACTTGAGTAAATTAACTGAGCAAAGCGCTGGACTATATTCTCAGCTTTCTATTCCATTAAATTACCACAGTTTGGGAGGTACAGTGAGGGAAAACAAGTATTTGATCTCCTGCTGATTTTGTACGTTTGCCCACTGACAAAGAAATGATCAGTCTATAATTTTAATGGTAGGGTTATTTGAACAGTGAGAGACAGAATAACAACAAAAAAATCTAGAAAAACGCATGTCAAAAATGTTATAAATTGATTTGCATTTTAATGAGGGAAATAAGTATTTGACCCCTCTGCAAAACATGACTTAGTACTTGGTGGAAAAACCCTTGGTGGCAATCACAGAGGTCAGACGTTTATTGTAGTTGGCCACCAGGTTTGCACACATCTCAGGAGGGATTTTGTCCCACTCCTCTTTGCAGATCTTCTCCAAGTCATTAAGGTTTCGAGGCTGACGTTTGGCAACTCGAACCTTCAGCTCCCTCCACAGATTTTCTATGGGATTAAGGTCTGAAGACTGGCTAGGCCACCCCAGGACCTTAATGTGCTTCTTTTTGAGCCACTCCTTTGTTGCCTTGGCCGTGTTTTGGGTCATTGTCATGCTGGAATACCCATCCACGACCCATTTTCAATACCCTGGCTGAGGGAAGGAGGTTCTCACCCAAGATTTGATGGTACATGGCCCCGCCCATCATCCCTTTGGCGCGGTGAAGTTGTCCTGTCCCCTTAGCAGAAAAACACCCCCAAAGCATAATGTTTCCACCTCCATGTTTGACGGTGAGGATGGTGTTCTTGGGGTAATAGGCAGCATTCCTCCTCCTCCAAACATGGCGAGTTGAGTTGATGCCAAAGAGCTCCATGTTGGTCTCATCTGACCACAACACTTTCACCCAGTTGTCCTCTGAATCATTCAGATGTTCATTGGCAAACTTCAGACGGGCATGTATATGTGCTTTCTTGAGCAGGGGGACCTTGCGGGTGCTGCAGGATTTCAGTCCTTCGAGGCGTTGTTTGTTACCAATTGTTTTCTTGGTGACTATGGTCCCAGCTGCCTTGAGATCATTGACAAGATCCTCCCGTGTAGTTCTGGGCTGATTCCTCACCGTTCTCATGACCATTGCAACTCCACGAGGTGAGATCTTGTATGAAGCCCCAGGCCGAGGGAGATTGACAGTTCTTTTGTGTTTCTTCCATTTGCGAATAATCGCACCAACTGTTGTCACCTTCTCACCAAGCTGCTTGGCAATGGTCTTGTAATCCATTCCAGCCTTGTGTAGGTCTACAATCTTGTCCCTGACATCCTTGGAGAGCTCTTTGGTCTTGGCCATGGTGGAGAGTTTGGAATCTGATTGATAGATTGATTGCTTCTGTTGACAGGTGTCTTTTATACAGGTAACAAGCTTAGATTATGGGCACTCCCTTTAAGAGTGTGCTCCTAATCTCAGCTCGTTACCTGTATAAAAGACACCTGGGAGCCAGACATCTTTCTGATTGAGAGGGGGTAGTAGCAGTAGCAGTTCTTTAGCGTTAATATAATAAATGCCTCTGTTGATATGTAAACTCTGACTTTAACATAGGCACTTCCGTGACCAGTTACATGCTAATTACTAACATTAACATCATGCTAATCTCCCAGTTACATGCTAATTTCTCACCTTAACATTCTGCTAATCTCTTAGTACCTTTCAGTGTAATGTTTAATATAATTTATTTGGTAATATATAGTATCGTAATTGTATAGTCACTATACAGCAGTGTGGTATACAGTAAGGTTTGTAAAATAATACACAGTGTAATATTACAAGTCTAATATTATTATAATCTAAGGTATACTGTAGGGTAGTGTATAGCAACGCAGTGTATAATTCAATGTTGGGGTCTGTCTATGGCAGTTTATAATGAATAGATTAGTTGGAGGCATATTATAATATTTTTTGCGACATAGAAGTGTAATGTATAATGACTTATTGTTAGTAACTCAGCTTAGTGGAGAATATATTGAGTACATTGATTATATTTACGTAGTTTATATTTAGTTCTTT